CAAACAACATTGCCAACATTTTAATATATACCTAACACGTTACTTGAGATGATAAATGTTCTACTAAAACAAAATTAAATACCTATCACAAATAAAATAATTTATCTGCTTGGTTAAATATGTATAACTCCAAACTTAAAAGAGTAATAAAAAACGATAATTTACATATTTTAACAAACAAAATAATTCTATAATCATTTTATGCCCGACAATGACACATTATTATAATATTAAATTTTAATATTTATTTGTATAAAATAAAACCTATGTTTCTAAATTTATTGACAACTTCTTCATCTGATAAATTTATATCTCGATAAATTGACAACAGTGTTTGAGTTTAGCCAATTTCATTTTCCACATCTTGAGCTCAGCAATAATATTATGTTTGTCAATTGTGGGAGAATATAAGTCAACCAATTGTTGAAATTTCTCCCAGTCTTCATTAGACAATTTTTAATGAAATAAGCATTCAAAACCTATAAAATAATAGATAGCATTTAGCAAACGGAAAATAACTTTAATTTTAAACTTAATGTTTGAAGTTTCTTTTACACACCCCTTAAAATATGTTTGTGGTTTATAATACGATGATCATTAACTTCGGACGTAAAATTGTCTAAGAAAGATAAAAATAAGTAATTAATCTATAGTCGGTGGACGGTGATTACCGATTAACGTCGATCTGGTGTAACCACTAAACCGTAGATATCAATCACCAACGTCAATATACATACAATATTTTAACATTTGCAAATGTAATCAATAATCAATGCGTTTTGTTTAAAAAGGCAGAGAACGTTCGGACAAAGATTCGAGTTTTTCGCATTTCCGTCAACGTAATATATAATAGTATTATAATGTCGTCAGTGCGCGTATCCAGAACCAGGCCAAGGTATCTAGGGTGAAAATCGCCTTTTATAGTCTCGTCGTAGAAAGTAAAGTTGAGTTGTTTTTTTTTTTCGCCATTTTATTGTTTAGACGCGGACAAGCTCACGCACTCTCGTTTTGGAAGGGTTAGAGCCGAGTCTCCCATTTTTAAATAAAAGCGATTTAATATCTCGATTAATTATAATATTTTATAAGCGGGTCTTATTTTTATTTTTTTTTCCATCGCCATCGCTATGCGAATTTATTGCTTTAGTTGCCAGGGCGTTCACTGGTGTAATAAAAGTTAAAGAAAACCGGAGCGAACACAGAGTCTAGGTGCGAACGGGCGTTCTTAATGGTGAAGCATTTATCTAGTTGTGTTTCCGTCCTATATAAACTTTGGCTCATCGATCTAATAGCGTTTTTAATATTTTTTAATATTCCCAATATTTAAGTGACATTCTAACCAAATCGTGTCATCCATACGGTGCAGAGAAATCAATAGTGCAGACGATTTAATATTTTTTCAATCGATGCGGGCATCCGTTTGCAATAGATAGCTACGTTTATAGAGCTGAACTCTGTCTTATAAGAAAAAAAAAAAGAAAACATATTGTCCACATTGATCACACAATTCGCATAATTTAAAACCGTAGTTTATCTGCCTATTCGTCATTATACTTTTGTACGAAAAATTTAACGACACCGTCTAAAATTTCGTTCAGATTAATAATTTTTTTTTTTTTTAATTATAATTTTTCGTGTTCGTACAAACTGTCCATTTTGTACTAAGGTGAATCCGTTACGTTTTCGACGTTGAGTGTTAATATTTCATTAATACGGTCGACGGCATTATGTACTCAATGCGTGTACGCAATCCTCAATGCATCTAAATGTATTACACTTAGCCGGTACGCACCGGTATCGTCTACAACTCCGTAATGGAGTAAATAGGAGTAACGCGAATGATTTCAATGGGAAATCGCCACCAAAATTATAAATTCTCGCTAAACAGTTTACACGCGTTGCTATTTCGCATCGTTGTAATGCGCTCTGAAAAAAATAAAACATATTTGCACGAGCCGGGTAAACCTGAAACGCAATGAATTGCGTTATTCGCATTATTCGACGGCCGCGTAAATGAACGATACAATTATATTTCCAAAACATTTTGACTGCGTAAGATAATTTACCGTTCCGGTGCAACCATAACGCGGTACCTTAGCAAAATCGCACATTTAGAATTTAAATTGTCACATTTAGGTTGGAATTGCGAAGACTATAAACAGCCGGCGAAATTCAAAGGGAGAATAAGTCCGGACGGGCGTCACGTGTGTATCGCGTTTTTGCAGCGTCGTTTGCAAATATTGCGGACGAAAATAAAAAGGCGGCGCGGTTCCAATTTTCCGTTACCCGTTTTTAAAACTCTAATTTCAACACGACGTGTTGTTTACCTTTATGAGATGGCGCGGAAGGTTTGAAACGAAACCGTTTTTAAATGTATTAAAACTTTTTAACTGAATACCGCACCCGTCTTGTATAATTACGGTGCGTTCAATGCCCATAGATGTGAAAACGGTTTAGTGAACATTTAATAAACAGATTAAAGATATCACAGTTGCGTCGTTATCCTGTTAAAATTGAATCAGTTGTGCATCGCCATTTAATGTTAATGTGATAAGCTGTGGAACGGGGGAAACGAAATGAAACCGATACCGGACCGTTCAAAACAACGGGCAATGAGTAACCGGCAATAGTATACAACGGCACGAACGAAAATCGATAAAGGTGACGTAAAGGTTTCGAAAACGCGTTTCGTGTTAAATCTGATCGTGCGTTTTAAAACGCTTGTAAAAGTTTTTGATTTTTTCGAATTACCAAACGCGAGCGTCGTAATTTCGAAAACTGAAATTAATGCGTTCGCGTGGAAATAAGTTTTGGTATCGACGCGGTTTCGTTCTGCTCCGTTTCAACGCCGCCGTATCACGACGAACGTGCGTACGTACTAATAAACGCTCAACGTTAACGTTAATTCCCATAGCCGTGCGCGAGTCCGTCGTGTCGCGGACCGGGGCGGTAAAATGCGGGCAACGCGTCCGCTCCGAGTTCGAATGCCGACGAATGCCGTGCGCGTCTCTGTACCCGCCGCAGCGACCGGCCGACGATCCGAATGTTCGGCATCCGGCGGCCGACCGTTGCGAAACGCGAAACGGCCCGTTCGGATAGCGTTCGATGACGATACGTCATCGAAACGTGTATCGCGTAGAACGTGGGTATTTGGGAAGGTCGGACAATACGTAAAGTTATTTAATTTATATCCGCGAGGAACGACAGAACCATTGCTAACGAAAAACGATTCGGAGCGAAGTTCGATTATAATATATGTTTTTGTTATTAAAATTCTTATAGAAAAAAAAAAAAAAAAAAAAAAAAAAAACGACTATAATAACTAACTTCCTGTTAAATTTTCAAGTATTTCTGTTTAGTATAACAATTTTATCCACAAAATATCTACCACGTTAAAATTACGTAAAAAACTCGTAACATTAAAATGTTTTTGAATAGCTTAAAGATGGTTCAAATATTTTAAAAATACCGCGACGGCTAGAAAAGGCAATTATAAGTTTTCATTCAAAATGGCAAGTTTCTACAAATGTTTTTAACTGTATTAGAACAATAAAAGCATTATTTTCATAAATATATACATTCTTTCTACGGTTTTTTTTGGTTTTGCTCAATTATTTAAAAAAAAAACTACATGGAAAATCAAACAACGACTTTCGTCAATCAATCGATCGTCAATTCAATTAAAATAGGCAACAAAAAAGACCTTTTGTTGCTTTTCTATTGGAGCCCCATATTTCTGGTAGAAAACATAAAGCGTAAATATTCAAAACAATAAAATCAGAAACGCCACGGCGTGTCGTAAATAACGTCGAAAATGCGTAATATCGGTATTTATACAATTTCCCGTTTTACCGTTATCCGTTTGCAGCTAGCAATGTTTTCAACTTCGTTTTCGATAACAGGTCAATTCGCTCTAAACACTACTAGCCGACCTTGCGTGTAAGCGACTATCGCGCCATCGTGCATATTGGCCGATAGTTACCGGTGCGAGACTACAAGTGTGATTTTTTAAAATCGCACAGAAGAAGCGAAACATCACCTAGGTTATTAACGAATACGCGATTTGTGTTAATTCGCAGCGGTAGTGGATTGTTCTAATAATAGTACATAGTTCGACATATAAAAACAAAAAAAAATAAATATGATTTACACGGTTCATACAATTTATAATTTATTGTGCGACGGGTGTCCCCTTCCTATATCAAACGGTTGAACACGGATATGCAATATTCCTCATTAGTATTCAAATAGTCAATATTTAATTTCCAAGTGATTGATAACATTGTTTGATTACTAAGCGGTAACGATATAAATATGGTATAAGTATAAATGGTAAGTAATACAAGTATATGAGATAATAAAAAAAAAAATTAGGTTAAAAATATTAAAAGATTAAAAATAAAATTGACGTTGGAAATCATTTTCATACATTTTTTGTCATCATTAATTTTTTATTCTTTTAATCTTTTAATCTTTTTTGAATAATCGTTGTTGTCGTGAAAACGCGCAATGTTGAACAATTTAATTCTACTGACCGAGCTCTGACGAGAATCGTTTACCGCGTACATATATCAATTAAATTGTTCTCTGTATTTCTACCTTCCCAACTTTTCACCAACAACAGTGGCCCGTCCACGGCGCGAAACATGGCCGTCCGTTTTTCAATTTAAATATTTAACGATCAATCATATGGATTAAAATTTCCCGGGGATTTGTTCGTCTTAATTATCCTGCTCTCTAGATGCTCTTTTCTCGGTTATAACGAAATCCGCTGGGGAAACCAAACCGATGGCATCCCAATTACACCGAACAGGTCCAAAACGCAATGAACAAATGCTGTCCTGGGGTAATAGGGACGGGCCCAGTCACTGTTGTCGGTGGGAAGTCAGTAATAAGGTAGGATACAGACGGGAACTCCATGTATATCGTGTACGCAACGAATAACCGTCTGATAAACGCGTTTCATTAATTGGTTTGTTCGTATTTTGTTCGAAGGTAACGTCATGGCCGAAATGCAGTATAACCAGGAGCGTCCGGCCCAGGACGAGGAACCGGGGGATTCGATACGCCGAGCAGACGACGAGGACGCGGCGACTGCCGAAAACGTGCGGCGTGTCTCCAAGAAACGGTTGTACCGGGACCCAGCACGGGCCCAGTCCTACTTGCGCGGGTGGCAGGCCCGCGGAGCCGACGTGTGGCGGAGACTGCAAAAGTCCAAATCCGTGCCGATGAACTGGCCAATGCCCGGCTTCGCGCCGTTTCAAACGCCGTCGCAGCCGACCGACGTCGCGACGGTCCAAACGCCGCCACAGCTGCCCGACTTCGCGCCGTTTCAAACGCCGCAGCAACTGACCGACTTCGCGCCGTTTCAAACGCCGCAGCAACTGACCGGCTTCGCGCCGTTTCAAACGCCGCAGCGACTGCCCGGCTTCGCGCCATTTCAAATTCCGCCGCAGCTGGCCGGCTTCGCGCCGTTTCAAACGCCGTCGCAGGAGTCGCCGGAGGTTTCGGGGCAGCAGTCGAACAGCGCGATGCGGTTTGGGATGCCGGATAGGATCAGCGGACGATCGCGACGTCGGGCGAAGAAGAAGCGCCAATTGGCGGACCTCAAGGAGAGGATGGCGGCAGCCCAGATTTTAGTGCAAATGCGCAATGTCGTTTTGCACGGCGATCCGATGGATCAGCCGTCGACATATTGATATGCGTGATTTCCGATCAAACGAGCCGGGTTTAGTATTGTATTGCAATTGTAGGTTTTTTTTCTTCGTCTTCTTCGTGTTTCGTCGCGAAAGCGTATTGATGTTTTACAATGACGACGCGTCGTTTTTTTTTTCTTTCTGTCTCTCTGTCCCTCTCGTTCGAAGAGAAATCGGTGTAGGCGTTGATAATGCGTTGTAAAAATGGACCGGCGCGCACACGCGATGTCGAAACGAGTTTGTTTCCGAGTTTCGTTTCTCGTTTCGTTTTCGTCCGTTCCGTCTCGCGTCGTACTTACGTACTGACGTATTCGCGTTGTATACGTACGTCGAATTGAGACGCGTGGCAGGGACGCGAAACGGCTTGGGTACGCGACTGTCCGGTTCGTCTGTGAAATCCAAGTAAGCCGCACGTTTGTACGTTTATTTCGAAAGGACACGCCGGTGTCGCAAACGCGCCGTAATGTAGAACAGTTAACGACAGTTCAAAACCGTTTTCGTCCGCACTCGTTTGTAATTCGTTCTTATCAATATTATACAATTACTATAGTAACAGAATTACGATTTGTATTTATTTGTGTTTTCCGTCGTTCTTCCGCGTTTACGCAATCGAAAATTAACAATCGCGCGGGTGCTACAATAATCCACGCACGCGTTGTTTAAACCGCCGGGTTAACAGCGATTATATCTGTTACGACTGTTTGGCGTAAATAAACTATCAACTGGACACCGGTTCACATTCGTTCGTGAAAAAGATAATTTTTACCCGTTGATTTTAATGGACTTCCAGCTCAACGGTTCACCAATTGGGAAATAATCGCAACGCCAACATTCTGTTTTAAAAAAACAACAATAGATTAAAATTACCATAACAAAACCGTCAACCATTTTTAAAAAACCAATTAATTACTGTAAATCGTAAAAAAAATTGTGAATTTTTTAGCTGCAATTACTGAAAATTTATAATACTATTTCGGTCGAAAGTGTTATGAACGGGCAATGGTAATAATGTATCATGACGGGGTTTTTTTTTTATTTACCCGAGAGTATACGCAGTAGTACTCGTATACTCCCGTAATCAACATTATGCGCCTTACCCGATTGTAAGACCACCGATCGTAACCGTTACAGTAACAGTTCATTAAAACCCATACAAATGATTAGCCGCTATATTTGAACAAACAGTCTTCAAGTGGACCAGTGAAAGGTAAGTTTATATTAAATACTTTAGTAATAGATTCGTATAAAAGCGTGAAAAAAAAAGGCCGGACGCTGACGTCCAAACACCACAGTTGCAAAGTACTCGAGTAAAAATATTCAAACACGTATATAAATACTTGGATATAAAATATTCAAACCATAATTATTTCCGTAAACTTTCTCGTTCATTTTGCGTTTCTTCCTGGATTTGTTCGATAAGTAAGAAAACTACACGGAAAATCAGAAAACTACTTTCTTACATACAACATGAACGAAAAGGCAACGAAATAGATATTTTGTCATTTTTCCATTATTATTATTAGAGCCACATAATATGAGCCCATAATATTGTTTCTTTTGAATATACAAAAATCGTGAAACTATAAATTGGTAAGTATACACCCGCTTCATATTAGATTCTGAGCGGAGCCAGGAATGTATTGGTTTTACAACAATGTTTATTTATTTATATTCTTTTTATATATATACTGTGTACAAAAATTATATCAGAAATCTTGCACCGATGTATCAAGTGTAGCAATTTTTCTAAAAGAAAATTGTATCTAGTTGGTATTTTAAGCGGGTCGTTTTTGATTTTCCGAGCAGTTTTCATGGTGATTGGAAAGAACAGAGAAAAAAAAGTAGGAAAAACGGGAAACTTTACAAAATGATGCTTTTACTATTTTCATTTCTGCTTTTTTTCTTTGTTGTAATTCAGAAATGTCCGTAGAGACTTGAAATTCGGCCAGATATTTAAGTTATAAAATTAAATTTCGATCAAGATCACCAAGAAAATAGACGTTTCGGTGGGAGATGAATATATTTTATAATAACAATAATAATAATAATTAGATGATTTTTCGATTTTTTTTAAAAGTTTTTTTTGATCCTATACTGAACAATTCTATAAATTTGAGATATCTGCTTATTGTCGTCAAGTCGTTTGTATTTTCCTACTATAAATTATATAATTCTGTTAAAAATCAACAATTAAAAAATAATATTTTTATCCAGACAAATTCGATTCATCTATGCCTCAACACTGATTATAAACTGTACCTACTTATAGTAGTTAAAAAAAAAAAGTTTAGCGTAGTGTAATAGTTTTGTTTCTAAATGTCTCAAATTCAAATTTTGACGAAAATTATAAAAATGATAATGGGATTTCAAAACGTGTTTAATCAACCCTCGCTTTCGTTAATAATGATTTATCGTTTTAAACAGATATAAATCAAATAACATTATATATCCCACCTTCCCAACTTCTCACCTACAACGGTGGCACACCAATCAACCTTCCGATTCATTTCGCGTGTGTGGTATAAAAACTACGACAAGTGAATCAGAAAAAAAAAACAAAACTAACTGAATTCTTTAAAATGTTTTTTTCTCTTTTTAACGATTGCGTTAGTTGCGGCCGGACAAGAGATTCAATTGGAATTATATTGAAATACCTAATACCTGTATACCCCGAAAGACTCAGGCGCAGTCCGACCGGAAACGGCTTATATTGTTGTCGGAAAATTCGATTCTCATATAATCGCGACGAAAACAGTATTTTCACGTGGAAAACTTTTGCGGTCCAAACTATTTTATATATTCCACCGGACCCAGTCACGTGCGCAAACACAACACGGTCACTTAAATATGTTGAATAGTATTATAGCCGTTAGGAAATTATGGAAAAAAAAAAATGTGAAAATCCGCGTAGAAAACTATATACTCACGTACAACATCGGTACGTTTAGCGTACTGCGGCATCTGCTGACACTCATCGCTACACCAATACATACTTAGTACTTATGCCGGAATATTTTTCGTTTTATCGAACAACACGATGCTGTTCGAGCATCACGATAAAAATAAAAAGAAGAAAACGTATTAACCGGTAAGTATAAAACTTACCCGAAACTTACTTAACAAACGTAAACCATCCGGTAAAACGTGTAGTTCTTGTGTATGTAGGTATAGAGCGTATATATCATTTTCGTTCCTGAGCAAGTTATTTAATACTTTATAAATTGAGTATTAAATTGCATGTATTTCAGGTATCAGACAGTTTTATGCATAGGTTTACTGGAAATGATTTGGATTTATTCGTGTTTTATTTTTGTCATACCGTCCCGAATCCAGGTTTATTGCGGGCCCATTTGGTTTTCCTTACTATATTCCTTTTGAATATTAGAAATTCTAATTTATCGCCGTTCGATGTTGTCCATGTTGCGCAAGCAAACGTATTAATATGGCATAGATAGCTGGCTATATAAATGTCTGGAGGGCAAATAGTAAGTTAATACACAAAGGTCTTAATCAATAAACCAAACGGAAAGGGACCTAGAGGTAGATCACACCATTGATGATTTAACAGAACGACCAAGGCTTTTGATAAACTGCAGGGAACGATAGAAATCGATCAAAAACGACGGAGACACTTGATAAAAGCAACCTTCAATTCCTGTAAACTTAAAAAAAAAAGTTTCAATAGTTACGATTTAAAAAAAAAAAATGTCAGTTAAGTTACAAGTCAATTTAATCGAATAGTAACTTATTGGTTAATTGTAAGTAACTAATGAAAACTTTTCAAAGCTCCTTTTGCTCCCATTTTATTATCTGATATATTCGTATACCTATTGTAATGCATTAACGTACATTTCACCGACCGCCCCTCCACAATAAAAAAGCTCAAATTTTTTTTGTATGTCAATATTCAGCATGTAATTAGCATGAATTTTTGTACCTATCAACGTAATTGTCATACCTTAGTTTAGAGGGTATATTAAAAAAAAAAAAACCCCGGGGTTAAAGGGAGATGAAAAATTTCTCTAACCCACCCAGCGTTTACATTCAAATTTTCAAAATTTTACCAAAGCAAATATTTAGCATGCAATTAGCATAAATTTGCATGACTGATCTAGAAATTCGTGTGAAACTTTCCTGTAAGTACATAGCGGTTTTATAGATTTGTGTACTTCACCAGCCCCCCTCCCCTCCACCATTCCCAATCGAAAGTTCCAAATTTTTGTTGCCGTTATTTAACATGTTATTAGCATGCATGTGCATGCAAATTGCGGGAATAAATTAATAAATTATATGTATAAATAGGTATAGAGACAAATCCCAAAATTTTAAATAAGTAACCTAGACCACTGATAAAGTCGATTATTCCCCGAAAAAAGACTATTGCGTGTGACGGTGGTTTTTATTTTTCTTGAAATGTGAAACTTATATTTTAAAATTTTAGATTATAAGCGAAGCGAAGAAGCCTATGGTTTTATAAAGATTTTTTTTGTTTTTATCTGTTAATAACTTTTCTATCAGAAAAATTGTTCGGATTTCTACGTATAGCACCTTTTCTGAAAGAAAATCGATATGGGAAGATATATTAAATAGGTTATTTTTCTCTAGAGTTTTCTCATCAAAAGTGAAAAACCATTATAAAAAAAAAAAAATGGGAAAATTTACGAAATATAATAAATATAAAATACGATTCTTTTTTCTTGTGAACAACTTTTCTACCAGCAATTTTGTTCCAACTTGTAATGATAGCAATGTTTCTAAAAGGAAATTTCACCGAGAAGCTACTTAAAATAGGTCATTTTTCGATTTTTTCACACATTTTCTCATCAAATTTCAAAAACCGGAATAAAACATTGGAAAACAGGGAAAATCGGTTCAATATTAAACAAAAATTATTAAAAAAAATATATAGAGCCTATTTAATTATTTTACTATAATATGACATTTATATTGCTGACAAAGAATCACTATCATCTGAACTCTGCTCAGAATCGTTTTTTTATAAG